GGTGGATAGATATACATCCTTATGTTCTCTGAAATCATTGAAATTCTTTGTTTCCAATAAAGGCGGGTGTGGGTGTGGGTGAAGAGAAGATCAACACCCACGCTCACACCCAAATTTGAATTCTTTACTCTCGAAAGGTTTTCTCAAATTTTGACAAGTAATGAATACCAACAATAAAATGCAAATGTTGAAAAAAACATCTCGTTTATCTCTGTATTTTTTTTGCTAAAGTGAAGTCAAAGTACTACATCTAATTAGAAGTTCGTACACTTGCAGAACACATACTTAGATTTTGCTTGCGACTTTAGAGCAATTTGATTTTAACACATTTTCAATACATATAGATATGAGATAAATAATCAAATGTATTTTCTAGAAATTTTCTGTGCATCTTTCTCTTTTATATTGATTTTTCAATGTAAATAATACTCTTGTAAGTTAATTCATAATTGATAATACTTGTTTTAATTCTATCATTATAAGACATGATTGTTTAATAACAACAAAAGAAGAAAGATCCGCACATTTATATACGTCTTTTAACATTCTTATTACTATAAAAATACAGGAGGTGTCAATCTTGTAATACTTATACCTTTTCTGCAATTGGACGTTTGTTACATGATTAAACGATTCTACATCGTACTTTGCAAACTTAAGTACTGGACATGAACACGTATAATGACTAGTGATAATTCACAGGTACCGACTGGAGAATGCACACTCAAATACGTTAATCGTCTGTTTTCATGTAAAGAGATTACGACAAAGAAAAGCATATACTCGATATCTTGAGGGTGTGGGTGTGAGTTCTGTTGAAGAGAAGATCCATATCCATGCCCACATCCACACCCAATCCAAAGAAAAAAAGAAACAAAGAGTACAATAAGTGAGGGTGTGGGTGTGGGCGTAGGTGTAAATATTCCATTCTCTTATGACACTCACACTCACACCTACACTTACAGCCACACCCTTTTTGCAGTGTAATAGTTATTGAATCAATAATTTCATGTGCACTACTATATAAGGATTCTTCAAGCAATCAGAATATTCTTCAGGAATTTCAGAGTTTTTCTGGAACTTTACCTTTCAGTTTAAGCCATGCACAGAGATGTCACATTTTCCGCTTTTCTCGTTTTTTCCGCTGTTCCGCTTTTTTCCGCTTTTTCATATAAAAATAACTTGTCCTCTTGTTGAAAACTCAGCATAGAAGAACAGTAGTTATCATTCAATAAATCATGATCACTAACGTAAATATCATCGTCAAAGTGAATTGTAGTCTGGATCAGAGTACGTAAATTAAAATTAAATCAAGCAACGTCATTCGTGCATTAACATTTAAGTCGTTTCAAGAAGGTGAGCTGAATATCGACGTGCTGATCAGGGTTGCCACCTCTTCCGCTTTTTGAGGAAAAGTTCCACTTTTTCACCTTTTTTCCGCTGTTCTGCAATTTTCTGCTTTTTTATATGAGAAACTTAAAATTTGTCCTTTATTTATAAATTTGTGGCAATAAAATTCATTACGATTATGTTCACTATGTTAGATGCAGTGATCTGCATCGAAATGAATTTCGAAGTTGTTTCGAAGTCAAAATAAGTATCTTGCCAATAATTCATTTTGAACATCAGAATCGTTGTGCTTTTGTAGGCTTTGCTCTTTGATTGACTTTGTACCGGCTGATGTATCTCGGAGGTTCAATCAACATCACATTGAGGCCTACGGACACAAAGAGAAAGTCGGAATAAACGTTGATTCCGAATTTTTCGACTCCGATTTCCTCTTTGAATCGATTAACTTCAATGTGACGTTGATTGGGCCTCCAAGATATATCCGATTGTAAGAAATCAGCCAAAGAGCAAAGCCTACAACGCATAAAGATTCTAATGTTCAAATGAATTATTGGCAAGAAATTTATTTGACTCCGAAACGATTTCGAAATTAACTCCGATGCAGGTCTCTATTTAGCTGTGATTTACAGTCTATTATTTTCTCTATGATGCATTCTGTGTTCTATTTCGACAAGCAGTGCTACTACCGTAATTGTTTTTTCGGAACCGATACATATATCCGATTATTACGGCAATTGAATGTCAGTCGCTTCAATCGTTGCAGAGATACAGATTCATTGAAATACTTCATTGTCATACGAACATGCATATAGTTCCACGGCTTCAAAAGGAGTTTCTAAGCGAAACCCATTGGATCAGCACACGTAACTGATTTGAAAAAAAGTCATATGCTTCATAAAATATCCATCTTCGTTATGTATTTCTCATCGCGTTTTGGAACTTTCAGAATGAAGAAGTATCACAGAAAGAAGCAAAAAGTTATTGACACCCATAGCAATGTCAAAGTTTCACAAAAAACAGCTTTCCGCAAATTTTCCGTTTTTTGTACTTTTTCTTTCCGCTTTTCTAACTGAACTTTCCGCTTTTTTGACTTGACCAGGTGGCATCCCTGCTCGTGATTGTTCGATTTTCTCTGCTAGGGGTGTGGATGTTCATTACAACGCCCGCACCCTTCATTTCTTGTCGATAAATATCAGCATTTTATTTGAAAATCATACATTGAATTTAATTTTTAAACAAATTCACTGCATTTTTTAATCAATATGTCAATTTTAATCAATGAATGTGAAAAAGTATCAATTTTATGTTCACTTCATCATCAAAAATACCATTTTTCAAGCTTTTTGCATAGATTTAAAGATTTTAATGAATATGTTTTTATTTTGAAGTTACTTGATCTACACGAAAAGACTAATTACTTAGGTCAATCCAAAAGTAATGTCGCCATTACCAAATTTCGCTAAAGAAAGTTTGAAGAAAATTTTCTTTTTTTACATGGTGATAGAGAAAACGATGTTCTATTTTTCGGTGCTATTCGATCAATCTTCAACTAATATCATAATAATAAAATTTTGATAAGAGCTGTTTTTGTGTAAAACTTAACTAACGGATAAGGCAGGTTAAATGTTTCAACCACTTAATGCATTGTACTAAAAAACAAAATACACCACAAGATGCAGCGCGAGAAGCTCTACAATTTACATAAGATCACTTGTTTTATAGTTGCATTTTTTGTTTTCAAAATGAACGAAATTTCGAGCGACCAATTTTCGACCCCGAGGAAACGATATTTTTTTGGTAGAAGATCAATTCATTTTTTCTTATTGCATCTTTTTGTCGCCTGATATCTTTTATTTAAGAAAAACAAAATACATCACAAGATGCAGCGTACAAAGCTCTACAATCTACAAAGTTAAGCTTGCTTTAATTGTGTACTTTTTATTTTCAAAAAAAACAAAATTCTGTGCGACCAATTTTCGCTGACCCAAAGAAGTAATATTTCTCTTATTTCATATATAAGAGAAACTGTTCCTTTATAAATTATAGAGCTTTTCACGCTGCATCTTCTGGTATATTTTGTTTTTTAATACAACATATTAAGTGATTGAAAATTGAAATGCAAAGCATATTAGGATGTGGGTATGAGATAAAATAATATCTACGACCCACACTCTGCAATATTTTACGTTGTCTCCGTCTGAATAGTTTTCGATGCAGCAGAATGCATTCATCTATCTGAAGATATTTGATTACACTCTTCATGCAACATTAAGCTAGCTTAACAAAACCTAAAATTCAAATTTTAAGCCCTATAAGTGTTTTAAAGCGCCCATTTTTCAGCACTTATAAGCACTTTAGATGTAATTAAGCGCTGATCAGCTCTTGAAGTGTTGATAAAAGCTCTATTAAGCGGCTTGAAACAGCTAAATAACAACTCCAGCAGTCACCGATATCAACAATCGTCCCTGTATCAAAAACAAAACGAGTAAGGAGTTTTCATGGGATGGAGACGCTCAACTTCACTAAAGTCTACCTCAATAATATCTATCCGCAAACTCATATACCATCAGTCGTCTACTAAGCGAATGTTTAGATTCATTTTTTCAAATTTCTTATCTGTACGCCCAGCATGTGCAAACACGCCAGAGATAAGCAGCGAATGACTGCATTGTGACAGCACACTTACTGCATCATATATCTAGATAACGTTCGTTTCATCTATCTTTCTTCGGTTGAAAAAATTCGACATCAGACAACTACTTCTGCCTAAGACATGACTAGCCAATTCCTTCTTCGTCGTGCTTGTGACACTGACAATGTTGCCCTCTCTCAAGTTGCCAAGCAGACATTTCGAGAAACGTATATCGAAGATTTAGCCATTCCCTTTTCTCAATGTGATATCGAATCCCACTTTCGTTCAACAAAGACTCCAGAATGGTATGCCAGCAAAATTGCCGATCCACTGCGAGCAATGTGGGTGGTAGAAGACAAGACTAATGATGAACTCGTCGCTTTTATCATTGCTTGTTCATGTATACTACCTCATCCTCAAGCTTGCCAGGGTGAAGACGGTGAAATTGAATTTTTGTATGTTCGACGCGATCGACGATCTCTTGGACTTGGACAACAACTGATGAATGTGACTCTATCATGGCTGGAAGAACGATTCAAGGGACGCCCTGTTTGGCTCTCAACAGTGTCGTGCAATTTAAAGGCACAAAAGTTTTATGAGCATTATGGTTTCATTCGAGTCGGCGATTACTATTCTAATGTTGGAGCATCGAAGCAACATGAAGTCATTATGCGACGAGAAAACCACTCGACTTAGTTTCTGCCTTATTGCATCTGATTCTATTCAATATTAATTATTTTGTACAAGATGGTGTGGGTGTGTGTGTAGGTGTGGGCGATGACTTTCTCTACACCGACACCCACACCCTGAACTATAGACACCTAATCAAATATTCATAGGAAAGAATGATTTAAATATTTGTATCAAACCATGGAATTTTTTTTTCCACAAATACAGAATTTCTAATAAAGAAGACAGATATCAACAGAAACAATTTTCAGGTTTTTATTTCTTATAATCATGCTGATTGAGGTAATTAGGCCGAAGTAGCATCAGTTTTATTTAGAATTTCTTCGAATCAATCAAATAGATCTTGTGCAAATGCATCAGAAACATGATGATAATGTCGAAAATGAGATTTTAATGCACTAAATGGAATTTTATGATGTCGACATGGTATATTTGATTCAATTGGTTGATCATATCCTCGTAAATTAATTCGACCGTCAGTCAATGGACATGGAACTCTATATAAATGATCAATTACATCATCATTTTCATCAAATAATTTTGTTATCCTAAGATCTTGATTTTTGATAACAGCTCGTGTTAAAATATCGAGCATCAAAATCGTTTTAATCTATGGTTTGTCATGAAATGGTGATATAATTTGATTCGATGGTTTTTTCTATGCTCATAAAATTTAATAGAATGTTTTGCTTCAGTAAGATCATATGGACCATCAACTGTTAATGGACATTGATAAGATAAAGTTGTAATTAGGGGTGCACCAGTGCCAGTAACTGGGTACCAATCCGACTAGGTAAAACTTCGAGTTCTAGCAAAAATACCTATGGATTCTTGTTTTATGAATTCTCACTGTCATTCGATGTTAGACCCAGTCGGACTAGGTACCCACCCAGTCCGACTGGGCCTTACAGCCAATGATACTTACTTTACATAGAACAAGAATCTATAAGTATTTTTGCTAGAACTCGAAGTTTTACTCAGTCCGACTGGGACCCAGTTCACCAGTCAGGACTGGGGACTGGTGCATTCCTAGTTGTAATTCTTTTTTGTTTTTCTTTATGTTGTTTTTCATTCACATCTTGATCCTGAAAAACAAAATGAATATTTCAATATCTGTGAAGAACTATGAATTGAAATTAATCAGCCAATGATATTTGTAGTCAGCAGATACCGGATGTTGCAAAAGTTTTGCAACATTTTTTATTTTGCATATATCTCGACGTAGATAAATGATAAAACCTTGAATTTTTTTTTAAAGATGCGCCTTGAAACGCTCTATAAGGATAGTAATAACAAATCCTGATTGACTTCTATCAATAGTCTTTTCCATATTCAAAATCGAAAAGATACATGACAGTGTGTTGTCCCACTGCTTTAAATATCACAAAAAGCATTTGAAAATTGTTTTTTGTTTTGTTTTCGGTATATCTCGACCTGGAAAGATGATAAAATCTTGAACTTTCTGTAAAAAGATTTGTCGTCAAAAGCTCTATATAAATTGTATCAACAAACATCTGATGGCTTGCTGTAATAATATTCCTAGGTGTTCAAAAGTAAAGACTTGGGTGAAGTTGCTTTTTAATGTTCTGAAATTATTGCAGCATTTTCTATTTCAATTGTATTCCCACATGGGTAAAAGATAGAATCTTGAACTGTTTTTAAAGATATACTAGAAAAAGCTTTAAAAATCCATAGAAATTTTCGTTTGACTTTTTATAACGATATTTGTTGCAGTTATAATGAAGAATCCATACGATACTGGTACTTCTCACTCATTAAGCATAATAAATTTGTTTTAGAAGACGTTTTTCTATTTTGTATGAATTTCGACGTAGATATATGATAAAATCTTGAATTGAATTTTAAAAGATGCGCTATGAGAAGGTATACACAATCTCTTCAAATAAATCCTGACTGGAAAACAAAAGTTTTTCAACTGTTTTTCTATTGTACCCAATAAAATGGAACAAAGCACTGTCATGTATCTTTTCGATTTTGAGTATGGAAAAGACTATTGATAGAAGTCAATCAGGATTTGTTATTACTATCCTTATAGAGCGTTTCAAAGCGCATCTTTAAAAAAAAATTCAAGGTTTTATCATTTATCTACGCCGAGATATATGCAAAATAAAAAATGTTGCAAAACTTTTGCAACACCCGGTAGATTCGAATTCTTCGATCTGGAAAATCGTTGGCCCAGCTTTATAAAAATTGACTAATTTCTAAAAAAAAATAGTCTTGTACTAAGTGAAAAAATTGATTTGGAATTATATAACTCTTATTTTTAGCTATATTGCCACCAAAGCTGAGTGACTGCATTGTTCAACACATATCCACAAGCCATGGAGTGGTCGTGGACAAGCCACTAACGGCTATTCTGTCTCGAATCAACCACTCGATACCATGCTGACTACATTGTAATATATACCTGCTACTGTGGCCAGTACGTGGTTAGTTAATGTGTATGGGGAGCTCAAGCAATTGATCGCAAGAACTTTGCGTCAGGCGGACTTTATACCCAGACCTTCAGCCAGCATTAGCCGTAGAGAACATATTGGGTTATTCAATCTACTACTAAGTAACACCCTATAGCGCAAAATAGTCGAAAGACAGGGATATTACTCCCTAGCTATAGCTTTACTTTTTATCCTATTTTCCAAAACAGTTTTGAGTACCATTACTAAGTTTCAGTATCAAAGGTGCTGAAATTCTGGAAAGATGCTGAGGTGTCGATGATTCCAGATCTGCATTTTTCTCCTTGGAACAAATAATGAAGTACATTGCTTTAAATAATCTTGAATATCTTTCACACTTTTAACCATGGATGATTAGGTATGAGAAAATATATACCAAATGTTGTTTAGATAGCAAAATTTCTTTTTTTCTAAACCTGGAGACATGATGACGTAAGTTGTCCAGAATCCTTGTCAGAGTTGTCAGAGAAGAGTAAAAAGAAATGTTATTGATCTCATTTCGATATTTTGACCTCGTGTTCATATCAGTATTTTGTGAGCTTCCACTGTGAAGATCATTGCAACATAAAGCGGTAACTTTGAAGCATACTGGACGCTATCTCGCCAACTTTAATTACCTGAGATAAAAGATGGAGACCAAATCGTTTGAATTGTCATTTTTCGGAACTTGTTGAAGATAAACAAAAACTCATATTGAGAATTTGAAATCGTTTGGATCATCTAATGGCATTGAATTCTCTGCAAAAATCTCACTAAGTTTCTAATGATCCGCCATGCTCTAGATCATCGCGACATAAAGTGCAAACTTTGTTACATCAAAAAATATGCAAAATATGGAGACCGAACGCGTACATGAAGAACTACATAAATACTTTGTTCTCATAGTGTTAAATATGTAGCAATTAAAAGATGTTGCAGGACACATATAAAATAATTTTTATGTAGTGGTGGATTAGAAACTGGCTTGACGAGCTCAATTACCTCCAGAAATGTTTGAGTCTTATCTAGAAATCAAAGAGTTCTATATTATTGGTAAAAGAAACATTAGCTGATCAACATCAAATGATTATGTGCAACTGATATTTTGAAAGAAAATTATATTTGTTTTCGTTTGGTTATTATTTAAAAGTTTTTTTGATAAGAATTTTTCTACGATCACTTATCCATACTTTCAATATTACAAAACTTGCTTTTTGAGTTCTGAACTTTTTCGAAGATGACCTAATTTTTTTTCATAATTTCTCAAGAGTTAAGAGAAAAGATCCTCGGCCCTCTGATGACCCATTTTTTTGTTTTCTTTTACAAAATTTAGTAGATTATATGCTAGATACTACCTTTTTTCCATTTGTCACCTATGCCCTCTGTAATGAATTTTAAATTTGAGTTTATTTTTGAAAATCGTCATTCACAATGTATATTCAATAATGAATTAAACACCACTGTTATCAATATTCATCAAATAGCCAATAAAAATTATAAAATGTTCGTTATTTTGATGATTGTTTTCAATATTTGCAAAGCTCGACCAGTATATGGCTCTTGTGAAAATTTACCATCGTTGTTGAAGAAAACACGCACACGATTGTAGTGTAAATCTATAGTCACAGGTGAGCCCTTCTCGAGTTCCTCAACATGGAGGTCTGAAACGTTTTCATCATGCATTATTTAGTTTTTACGGGTTTCATAATATTTAACGAAGAAATCAGTTCAGGAAAGGTATTTTAAAAATTTTATTTCTAAGGAAGCAGAAGAAATGTTCACTTTCGAGGAGATCACAGTGTTATAAATTCTACTCATCATTATGATTTCATGGATATCCATCAAAAACTAATTCGGTAGACACCAGATGTATCTGCTTTTAGAAGAAAATAAAAGGAGATGGCATCATCATCGAGAAATTATGATTGAATTGGTCTAAACGATGACTTCAATATATGACAGGAAAAGAACGGATTTATTGAAGTGACAACTGATTCATTTAATCTCAAATTATGCAAAAATGTTTAACATCATGATTAGATCTCAAAAATACAACCACAGGTATCTGAAAGTTATAACAAAAGTCAAACTTTAACTTGATTCACATCATGCTATGAGAAATTATTTGGTCTCCTTTTCTGTAACCAATATCTATCGAATATATAATACACAAAACTTTGACTAATATTCATTATTATAAAGAATCTGTGAATACTGAGGATATTGAAAATCTGAATTTCTACTTATAACCTTGGAAACAAGGCCAAAAGAACTGCATTAAAGCTACTTACATGTAACGATGTCGTTAGTAGTATATGTTGACGGTGGATGAAAGAAAACTAAAATGATTAAGTATGCAACAACACTTTGCTACTTCACTTTGAAGAATGACTTGTAGCAAATAAAATCAAAACAGATCAAAGAAATAGAAAAAAGAAAAAAAAATTGTTTCAATGTTCTCTGTTCTTGTTGAATAGAGCCGCAAGAAAGAAATGTACATGATTCTATTGTCATCGTCAAAATTGAATTGATTTACCGCAAATATCACTTGAATTCTTTGTTTTTACAACAAGACACCGTTGAACACTGTTAATATTCTATAGTGATGCGGGTGTGGGTGTATTTCTCTTTGGTTCACAGTCACACCCGCACATCCTTGCAGTACAAAAGCGTCGACACTGATGATAAGAAGGAAACAGAGATGCGTCGTTTAATCAAATTAAGTGAATTCGTATTTGATCGCTGTTTCAAAATCGTATGTATCAGTTGCGTAAGTCGAATCCATAGGCAATAGATTATAAACGTACAATATGATAAAAGCAACCTCATGTTTTAAAGTAGTTGTTTAAATTTCACTAACATTCGTCAACCGTGTGAATATCAAAACTTATTTGTGATTATCAAATGAATCTGATGAGTTTTTTCTGTAATGCATTTATTTGTTTTCGTGTATGAATGTTTGATAATATGAAAGAGAAGAAGTGCAAAGACAATAAAACCAAAACAACTAAATCACACAAACAGAACACTAAAGATATAGAAAAGAAAATTGATAAGATTATAGAAACTAGAAAATATCTTTTTTTCTCAACCATCTGTTCACTTCTTTTTTTCATCACATAATCAATGCTATTTTCTTGAAGTTCAAAATTGAGCAATAATACATTACAGTTTCTAAACATTGACTACTGTCTGTCTTGTTCTCTGATATTTCTGAATCTTACAATTGCCAAAATGAGAAGCGAGTTTTACTCTAAACATAGGTGAAACCATCAGATACGAATATAAATTATCACAACTGTAGGCATTCAGTAGTAAGCGTAGTTGATTCGATATTAAATGTTCTATTGCCTGTCGTTTCACAGTTTTATGCATCTTAAATGTTAAAGCTTCATAGAAGATATAAGATGCATAGGGAAAACTGGATAGGACAGTAAAAAGTACTTGAATTAAAAGCATGCGTGTTATTTGTATTTGAAAATGTCGAGTACGTTTGTTCAATTTCATAGCATGAGAGTGATAGATTGTATAATTTAAATTTTTAACTGTTAAATAACTGAAAAATGACATTAAGGTTATTGGAATAAGGAGAAAGAACAGAAAAAAGAAAACATGTACATAGTAGAGATACCAACTTCCAGCCGGAGCATTACATTGATTTGAATAAATAGTAACATAGTAAAGACTTGGTGACGCTAGGCAAGTACATAGTAGAATTAGAAATACAATGAAAAGACGTGCGTTCTTGAGACAAAAATTTTTCAAGCATTCATGTGTATAAGACGAGAGCAAGTAACGATCAATTGAACCTAAAGAGAACATAAAAAATTAAGCTCAGAGATTTTTGTTGTTGTCTTGTCTCCTGGTTCTATTTGAGTTATAATACCAATTACTGATCGCTGCGAAATCTTTAGAATTCTTGGATTTTTCAAAGATTTTCTCCTTCTTTCTGGCATCTTATCAGTTGTACTAATATACAGTCCGTGAAAGTAAGTGGAAAATAATAGAACAGTGGTATAGTCAGAATTTTTTGAGTGATAGGCTATTCTACAGTCAAATTATTTTAAGAGACGAGCAGCGATAGTCGATTGTCACGGTTACAAAAAAAAAATGAATGGACAGCATTCTTGTCATCAACTCAAAAAATCCGTTGGTAATAAATTTTGGATTAATGGATGATTGTTCATTGCCTGACGACATCACTGAATAGAATTGTTTCGTGTTTTTAAGTATGCTCATAGATTTGTCTTAATTTTAGCTACATGTTTTACACTAGCCGATTGGAAAATTTTGCAGACTGGTAATAAAACGATAGAGTCGTATATGATGACATATTAGAGAAAGATAGCAAGCCTCAAATATTGGCCCTCATCGAATTAGAGTCGGAAGAAGAAAAAAATGATTTTTCCGAGATTCGAGGCGAAGTTGAATAATAAGAAAAATTTTATTCCTTCGTAAAGCTTCACTTTCTTGTCGAACAAGTTCTATTTGCCTTTGCTTACTGTTTATATAGACCTATTCCATTAGATTTCTCCCATCTTATGCAAAGTCTTGTTATATGAATCTGAAAGTTTGCTCAAATATAGAGTGGCATGTGCTGAGTATTATGAAAAAAAAAAACTTTTTGAAAAATGATTTGTCATCAAAGATTTTCGACAGCCAAAATATATAATATTCGATCTTTTGACTCTCGAAAATCTTTGATGACAAATCATTTCTCAAAGAGTTTTTTTTTCTATCATAAGACTCAGCACATCGCATTTTGTGTTTGAGCAAACTTTCAGATTGATCTAACAAGACTTTGTATGAAATGAGAGAAATCCAATAGAATAGATCAAAGTGCCTTCTGTGTTACTTTTACAGTTTTTCGTAACTGTTGTACCACGAAATCTTTGTAGGCACGAACGTTGAGTGACCAGATTCCAGTCTGAAGAATTCTTTAGCTTAAAAATTATTCGTGGAAATCTCAGAGTCAGAATTGAAGTTAAGAAAGGAAGTTCGAAGAATGGAGAAGAATCTGAAGTTGAAAATTGGCTGCTCGTCACTCTCTATGACATATATAATTCACATGTGATATGAACTAATCTATTAGAAAGTTGTTTTTTCCCTTATTTTTTCTGATTTTGCTCTCTCTCTCACTTCTCTTTCCTATTCATCTTTTTCTTCTGGATAAGAGAGAAAGAAGAACAAGTAACTGAAAGAGCAAGTCTTGTTTTTATTTTCACAAAGAGAAGACGCGTTGATCTCGCTTCTTTTTGCGTGTTTCATAATTTTTGCTGTATTTTCTTTTGAAGCTTTTGTCTTTAGTCGAAGAATTATTTACAAATTATTGGCTATCATTAATGTTTTAGCACTTGATTGTAGATGTTGCCACTTTGTTTTCAGGTCACTTAGTCTCATCTCTAGCAATCTTTCAAAAGCAATTCTTTAAACTAAAATGTTAAATCGGTTACTATAGGAAAATACCACAATTATTTTAATAACTGTTCATTCTTACCCATCAAAAGTGCTGCAAATGAACAAATTAATGTTGATTGTGTTAAAAAGAATCGAAATTTACACCAGACTAATGACTTTGTTGTTAAATCATATTGAAATAAACTATCCGTTAGATAACGACAAATATATCCAAAATTTAATTGTAATAAATCGCATATACTACATAGAAGAAGATAATTTGAACATGTATTTCGTCTAAATGATTTGTAGCATAAAAAAAGTAGGATCACAAGTGTTGAATTAAAGTTGCCAAATACAATAAGAAAAAAGCCAATATAAGTTGTTAAATGACGAGATACGAGATCTAATGTCTTAGCAAATTGTATGTTGTCATCGTCATCAATTGACTGTGATAAAGGCACAAAACTATTGTTCAACATCATACGCTTGTCTAGAGACAAATAACAAAAGCAAAACAAGTGTAAGCCAATTATAGTTCGAGACGGAAATTCTATTAAGATTCGACTGATAAGAGAGCTTCACTAAGTGATACTTCGTCTGAGCTCATATTTTACTCCTTGCACTAGAGGTTATAGTGTAGAGAAAAAAGGTTTTTTTTTTGTTTCCAATCAACGTTTTAATTTCATGTTTCAATAGGAAAAAAACATTTTCATGTGCTGATTTCTGTCTATAAGGTCTTCTTGAGTGTGATTATATATTGTGGAAAAAGATAAGGCTGTAGACTAAGGGTGTGGGTGTGTAAGTAAAGAACAGCCATAGCCACAGCCACAGCCACAGCCACACCCACCCACACCCTTACTCTTAAATCGGCTTTCGTGACTTCAATTTAATCGATCGTAGCATAAAATGTTCACAGTGTACGTTAAAGTAGTTTTTGAAAGATTTACTGAATAATTCGGAATTGAAACTATGATTAACATGTTGAGGACGAAACCCGTATATATACGAGTTCAAAATTTGAATGAGTTACTAATGGAATTACTCACTAGTTCCATCTATAATATATAGCGATAAATTGACGGAGCTCACTAGTGATAGTCTGTAAACGCTAGGGATATCTTTCGCAATGCGCCATCCATGATTCATGGTGATCTGTACAGGACTGTAAACCAAGTAGACTTATTACTCAATATTTTCCTTCTCTTGTACCTCAAACAATGGCAAGAAAAACTTCTCAGAAACAATGTGTTGCATATACACATACTAACAGAGAAGACCTAAAAAGAAAACAGATTCACGTTATATATGTAAAGATTGTGATGTGGGCCTTCGCGTATTTGGTTGCTTCGAAGAATTTCATATCTTGATAAACCTTTACTTTTTTTTTCTTCCTACGCTTTTTTTAATTTCAAAATAAACCAGCTACATGTTTTAAATGACGTCTATGGGCAATAATTATGACAATTAATGACTTTGAAAATATAATTCATTTTGACAACACAATTTCATTTTTTTATGAATAAATAAGTCCACTCCGAACAGGTTAATTAATATGGTCAGAAAGAGGAAAATCTTAGCTACAAAATAACACTAAAAACTAACTACATGGAACCAATTAAAATTGTGGAATAGAAAAGTGGTTTTTGTCGATGAATGACGTCAAACAACGCTAATTTTTCAGTTTTTTTTGCTTAAAAATTTCATAGTGACGATACTCAAAAGACTTGATATTTGTACAGTAAGTAAGGATAGATGCTAAGGAGTATTTTTTTTTTAAATGTTTAAATCCGTTGAATAGAATTCAAAATATAATCGTTTTCGTGTTCGGAATCTCTATGGTACAATACGAGCACAATTCATCTATACATTCAAAACTTATATGCAAAGAAATTTTACTTACATCGTCAGATTTTGAATGATATCTGTTCTTGTTTTAACTTTTATAGTAATGCAGATTAATTCTGTATCATATATTTGTGTAGGTTAATGAATGCATGACAAAAAGTATATATATCATGATGTATTTAATCATTATATTCATATAAGAATTTATATTACTTTGAGAATAATCTATGCGTGTCAATAGTTGAATATGGTTAATTTTTTATGATAGCGTGAGGATTAATTTCTTTTCATTATTTTTTTAATTTCTCTATAAATACGAAGACAGGGAGTTATTATAAAACAAAAAAGATATTCTTTCGTAAGGAATATGTTTATTATTTTATCTTCAGAATTTCTTAACATACGTACTCTCAAACCTGTTTTTAGACACAATAACTTTTTTTTTCGTTTTCCAACAAGGATGCTAATTGAAACAATAGTACTCACGTCTCTAGATTGATGAAAAAGATAATATTGATATTGTTTGTTTATTTAGAGCAGCTAGTAAATTCTTGCATCATAAAAGAGTGAAAAGTATAACTGTCATCATAAAGAGCAAAAAAGAAAAGAGAGATAGAATGTACGTTCTTTTCATATAAGAAGCAAAGAAAAGAAAAGACTCGCACAGCAGAATGATATTGTCACATCCATTTCTCTTTTTATGACGCGACTACGTAACGTTCATAACAAACTTCATAGTCCCATTAGTAAACAATGTTATTCTCTATTGTACCTTGAGAAGCAAAAAAAATATTTTCCCTTTATTTTCTAAGAACAGAGTCTAAAATGATCTTGATTGGTAGTACAAGAGTTAATAATATTGAAGAAAAATGAGAAGACAGAAATATTCAAAAAATGTTAATTTGTTGAAAAAGAAACAGTGAGCTGTCAAGTTATATAATTTATTATCAATAGAAAATACTCATTCCTAAAAGAAAACATAATAGTGTATAATAACTTGTCATTAACTCAATGGGACACTTACATTTTTGATCTCGGAAAATTAGCATAATTGATCCCGGATACTTTTTTTCGGGAAAAAAATGCACAATTAATCCCGGTTTTTTCTAATAATTTTTAATTAGTTATATAATAACATAAGTGATCCCGAACAAAGCTATTTTTGTTTCTCGCAGAACATAATTGATCCCGGAAAATTAGCAAGTCATGGCACCGTCTTTCAATCTGACGCACATTGAATAGCTATGTGGTCTCACTTTAACCATAAGATGGTGTGGATGTGGAGTATGGAGTGTAATTTTCCAGTCAATTAAACTCCATCCCACACCCACCCACATGAAACTTATGTAGAATGATATTGGACCCAAATGGAAGGCTTTTACGAAAAAAATTTTTCGATCGAAGTTTGTGAGAAAAATTTCGTTTTTAAAATCACACCCCCCTCAGTTGTTTTTTGTTTTTAGCAATAATTTATTGTTAAGAATTTCATCGTAATCTACATCAAATTTCATCGACATTTTTGAAATATGTCCCAAAAAAACGGAACAAAGATTCAAAACGTTATAACTCCTGAACGGATGCATATTTTTACATGAAATTTGAAATCTTTCGATGAAATTTGATGTAGATTACGGTGAAATTCTTAACAATAGATTATCGCTAAAAACAAAAAAAAATTGAGGGGAGTGCGATTTTAAAAACGAAATTTTTCTCGCAAACTTCGATCGAAAAATTTTTTTCGTAAAAACCTTCCATTTGGGTCCAATATCATCCTACATAAGTTTTATGTGGGTCCCATGCTCTGAACGTGAGATATAATGTTTTCAAAATCCAGGATCCGCCACTGAAATAGCTTATACTTCAAAGTATTTTCATTGAAATTTCTAATACACTCTGTTTTTACACAAATTCGAATAATAGAACCGATAAAAATCAATCAATCAGTCAAATGCAACATCTGCATTGACAATGCATTTATCAAAGAAGATTCCTGGTGCAAAATTGCAAGGTGACGACAGTACCAGTGACTCATATCCTTGTATCGTTCCTATTATGTGGGTGTACGAAATTTTTATTGAAATGCATCATAATTATAGACTTTTTTTCTGCATAGACTGTGCTGCGAGCTTTGTTGCTGTTGCTGTAGGCGTTAACTTTGAACAATATATCATTAACTAGCTTATACATATAACAATCTTACTTATATGTCTATTATGACAGTGATACTCTTGAGTTCAGGTGATATTTCGCATAAAGAATCTTCAAATTCATTTTGGATGTTTCTACTTTATAGAATAAAACTCTCTTCTTTATAATTGAACATCATAATAAATTAAAAGAACCGAGTTCAAAATAGCTTATTGAAGAATTTGATGATGACTAGTTCTACTTGAAATCTTCCGCATTGATCGAAACTTTTACCATTCGAAAAGGACAAGTGCTGTTAGACATTTTTTTCTAAATTGTAACAAGTTAACTGTTATTTGAGAATAGAGGTGTGGCTGTGGGTATGATTGTTGGTTTGATGTCACACCCACATCCTTCAGTTTCTCTATTCAGTGCCAAAAGAAATCTTGAAAAAATCTCAGCTCATCCTCATCAAGTATCACTTCATCGTTTTCGTAGTACTTTGTATTGTTCATACTTTTATTTAATGATAATATTGATAATTTTGTACCATACACGAAAATATTGTCAAATACAAGGGAAGTATTTATACTGATGTAAAAAAAGATTAAAAGAATTGGAAAGGATACCGCCGGATAAGATCGTAAATCTGCCACCCCCTAGTTTTGACTTCCAGTAGTTTAGAAAGATAGAGCTTGAAATTCTGCACATTTCTGTATATTTCTTTTGCTTGTAACTCAACACAAAAATAAAATTTAGGTTCGAAATAGTCTGAGGGGTCTATATCACTTTTGAGTATTTTAGGCGATAAGTATGATACCCATACTTTTTTCATTCGTGTATTCAATACAAAAACTAATAGTTTAGATCGACGCAGTTTTTCACGCTCTACAAAATGATGTATTATTCAAGTTTGTCAGTAACTTTTCTATCAGATAATCTAGGGTCAAACAGGTTCAATATTGAACCTGTTTGACCCTAGATTATCTGATAGAAAAGTTACTGACAAACTTGAATAATACATCATTTTGTAGAGCGTGAAAAACTGCGTCGATCTAAACTATTAGTTTTTGTATTGAATACACGAATGAAAAAAGTATGGGTATCATACTTATCGCCTAAAATACTCAAAAGTGATATAGACCCCTCAGACTATTTCGAACCTAAATTTTATTTTTGTGTTGAGTTACAAGCAAAAGAAATATACAGAAATGTGCAGAATTTCAAGCTCTATCTTTCTAAACTACTGGAAGTCAAAACTAGGGGGTGGCAGATTTACGATCTTATCCGGCGGTATCCTTTAGTATTAAAATTGATACAATGAAAATATAGAAATGAAATCTTTGATCATTTATCATTGACAATGGCAATACCGATAAAATTCCTTAAAGTTATTTTGTTTTCTTCATTCTGAGAAGTTGAATATAAGCGAAAACAAAAAACATTATAGACATAATTGTTAATGCAAAAAAGTTCTTCCATAAATCCCATGAATTAGCATGAGCAAGTCCTCGTGTATCAAGTATCTCATCACCTGTCAATGGACAGAAATTGGTTGCATTTGACAAACAGAAAGTGAGACCTTTAAAATCACTAATAGTAAGCATATTCGAAGCATATCGAAATGCACTTATCCACTGAATCCAAGAAAGCCAAGAAAAGACACTTGACAAATCGACAAGAAATCCAGTAAACATTGTCATAACGACAAAAATAAGAATAGCAATAATTAAAGCCACGGCTACAACAATAAACAGACATAAAACAATATTTATTTTGAGAAAATTCTAGATAGATATTACACAACAGAATGAAAGTTTATATTCATCAAATATTTAGTGAAATTTTTCATAGATAGATCAAATGTTGATTAGACGAGTAAAAATCAATATCTTTTTTCGTTTTTCATAATATTTATCTCTCTTATCTCCTGACAAAAGTTTAACTTTAATATTAGAAACTTCAATATTAATAGTGAAGTCATTATTTTTAACAAAATTTTCTGTTTTTCTTTTTCAATCTTCAGACAAAATCATATTTTATCTCGATTTTTATCTTCCATATAATAATTTGAAATCGTTTTTCAATAATAATAATAATAAGAACATAACTAAAGAAAATCGATGATCTTACCGAAGACATGTATAGTAGCTGCAATGAAAAAGCATAAAGCTGATCCAAATAGACCAGTCATGAAAATTGTCAATAGAAAAATAAAGAATTGTCCACCTGTTCGATTGAAACCAATCATAAAATAGGAGATGCCAGAAAATAGAATTGTTGGTATCACACGCATAGGTAATAAGTCACATAGTAATTTGGCAATGAAAAATGTGAAGATTCTGTAATAACCACTTGTACGTTCCTTCAAGATACAAAATAAAATATATCATTACAGTATTCGAAAAGAGACCTACATGAATGAAAAGTGCACTTTCACTAATCAACGGTTCGATTGCTGTCAAATTGCTCAAAGTCTGACTCAGTATAATGAAAAAAATTGCACCAAGTCTATTTTGAACACCAGGTTCAATCGTTCTCTTTAAGTTATAAAACAGTAATCCGGCTAATAAACCAATAACAATAGAAACAAGAGTTTGTGACAATGCTAATGCTGGATTACGTACAGTATTTCGAAGTGTTCGCTGTGACAAATAAAAAATTTCTGCTTTGATCGAACGAGCTGCTTCTATCTTATATTTTTGTCGTTCTTGCTCAATATTATTATTATTGGTTAAACTTTCTTTTATATGATGAAGTGCTAATACATTTGCGTTCGTAGTATTGTATATATTATTTAACCTCATCAATGTATCTAAGTTTCGACTAACATCAATTAAAACATCTAATGCATAATCAGCTGGATTGTCATATTGTTCACATTGATATCCATGTGTAGCAAAATATGAAACCACATCTCTAGGTGAACCATGATAAATACATCGACCTTTGCACATAAACATTACTGTATCAAATGTTTTAAAGATGGAGTAGCGTGGTTGATGAATAGAAAATATGATAGTACCTATCGTTTAATAAAACATTATGATTTAAAACTTTTTTTTCAGTAGTAAGAATTCAATGATAACACATACGTCCTCGTTGAGATAGATCTTTCAAACAATTCATAACGCTGCTTGCTGTTGATGCATCGAGCCCTATCAATGACATATTGTTTCGTAATATGTAATATGATTAAACAATATAGAATTCTAATATAGTTTTCTCTTCTATAGTCGCCCTAGTAATGTAAGATTTCACTTATTTTTTTACTTGTCATCTTAAAATCATCGATCTCGTAAAGTTCTTTCTTACAACACAAAATACTGTTTGATCTAACTAATTTGTCGATTAGGTTTTAGATCAATATTTCTCATTAATTATAATATAGATTTCTTTCAGATCAAATTAGTCTTTTCGCATTCTATCTGTTTCTTATGGATAAAATATTCATTATGTTAGAAACAAAAGATCGAACAACAATTGATAAAATAGATTCATTAATTTTAAAGTATGTAATCTACTTCATTCAAATAAATCGTATTATTTGATATTGAAATTCATGTTTTAGATGATTATAATCAAAGTCAAGATCGATTTTGATTTTAAGAACTCCTGTGTACGCTTTCCATGTTGCATATATATGTATATAGTCATACCTGTGGTTGGTTCATCAAGAAGCAAGATCTTGGGTGATAAAACTAATTCCATACCAATACAAGTTCGTTTCTTTTCACCACCAGAAACACCTCGAAGAAAATCTGTACCTACACGTGTATCGGCACAAGCTTCAAGACCAAGTTCTTTAATAACACAAGTAACACGTTGATTCTTTTCAGTCATCGATATTTCTTTTGGCATACGTAGATTAATTGAAAACCATAGATTCTCACGGACTGTCAATGTACCACTACAAATATTCTCTTGAACAACATAGCCAACAGTATATCTAAAAGATGGATGACGTGGTGCTTCGTCGACTAGCACAAGTCCAGAAAGATCATTCGAATCTTTTCGGTCAGCAAGAACATCAAGTAATGATGATTTTCCACATCCAGAAGGACCTTTTCAAAATGTGATGAACGAAATGTTTTCAAAGAAAGATATGATTAAGATTCTTTTTACCAAGTATAGCATTCATTCCGTTCATAAATTTTCCTGAAACATCGAACAGAATTTGTTTTTGTTGTTGAGCCTTGAAAAATGGAAGATTTGGACATTTCAAACATTGCTTGTTTAATATTGATTTGGCTTCAACAATATAATTAATATTGTGAAATGTAAGTGTTGCAGAAGCATGTTCAGGAATTGATATTCGATTTATACTAGTCGCTCGACGAGCTAACAATGAATGCCTCACTTCAAGTTCATTATAATGAGTGTTACTTGTGACAGGATTCCTATACACAACTGATGTCAGCGCCATTTGATGGGGATCTGTGTTTGTTTTCATTGGTCTATACGAATAATGAAAAAATTTCTTGACAGAAAATTTTCAAATCTATGTATTGAATTTCTTTCTACTGCTTCTTTACTTTTATTATCCACACACAATAAAGAGAAAGAAATACAGAAGAAAACGATGAGCTAACTTCTTCTTTGTAAAGGAGAATATTTTACCATTTAAATAATTCAAAGATTTTTCTACATGTTAGAGACAATGATCGACTTTATAAAATTGCAGAAAAGATAAAGCAGATTAGTTTCTTAGCTGACAATATCAGTCTTTCTCATAAATCAAACTAGGTTTGTACAGTAGAAAAACATGATTCAGATGCTGGAATAGAAATAATTTGCTTAGAAACATTTGATGTTCCATTCAATCCTTCGAAAGATATTTTATTATCCATTATGTGTACAATACTGATTCGTTTTCACATTTTTTTTGACTTTTAATAATTGAATATCATTTAAATAATAAATGATATACTTGTCATGTTTCGATGACCCTCTGGCTAGATTGCTTGTCCGAAAAACTATTAATTCTAACATGAATCCATTTCTTGAAAGAAACAGATCATTTATTTTTCTGATTATTATTTTATTGTCGAAATATGATTAGAACGATAATAAAATTCTTCACTTATCTTATAATTGTATTAAGTATTTTTCAATCATTGATAAAACGGTAAATTTTAGTGAATGCAAGTCAATATATCAATTGAAAAAAAACAAGTTATGTATTTCATTAACAAAATAAAACTTCAATATTTCGAAAATTAACTTTTCGAATATAAGCAATAATCGAATAGATAGAAGCGCTTATATTTTAAATTGTTGGTAATAACACTTCCGTTTTTGTATAAAACGTATATGATTTTCGAAAATTAGCATAATACTGAATTTTCTGACAAAGATTATGTTACACCTATAAACAGCATTGATATTTAATCACTATTTTTTGTGACTAATTCAAAAAATTTTCATATAGTGATGCACTCTCATTAGATAGACGATCCTTTTCACTGTTGTAATGAGTGGCGCAGAGTAAATGGGCCTCCCAGTATTTTGCATTTATTTCACTAATATTTCAGCGTAAAACAAAAACTTTTTTTTGAAAAATATTCTTCGTGAAATTCTCGATAAAATATAGTTCTTTTTATTATCTTAAATAATCTCCACAGTTTTCTGCCATACGATACAATCGATTAGTCCATGAGTTACAACTTTCAAAGACAACATTTAGTCGAATTTTTTTACTGCAGGTTTTAATTCTTGAACCAATGTTGCTTTAGATTTTACTTTATTCCAATTAATGACCTTCACAAATTCATCCCAAATAATTACAACGTAAAGCATTGATATTTTGAAAGACTCATATATCAGTGACGCAATGTTTAAGAATGATAAAACTTTATATATGAGCTAGTCATAGCAAGACCATCATGTTGACAAAGTTTTAGATCAAAATTCGAAGATATGATTTTACCCAACAACTAACGTCCTATAGGAAAAATTCACTAAAAATTCGATATTTTGGGTCAAATCTCAACAAGAGCACGAATCCTTGGGCGATTACTCTGATCTAATGGTTTCCTATGCATGGACATAATATGAATGTAAACAGAGCAGATCACTTGCGAATTTTCCTTCGTTAGTAGTATTACTTAAGGATAGAAAAATCTGCTATATAGTGATAATGAAAAACGTGTTCTGAAGAGGATGTAATTGCAAAAAACTTACGTTTGCTCAGTGTATTCTTGTGAAGTCTTCTATGCTGACCAGCAGAATAATGGTGTAATGAATCGAAGTTATTTTATGAAAAAAAAAAATGAGAGCATTATGTTGCTTATATAGACATCGGAAAAAAAAAGTTTGGCTTGTGTGCATTCATCCATATACGTAAAACAACACATGATCATATATTATTGGGGTTTTTTTTTTCATACCTATATTATCGTTGTTTTGCTTGTTCTCTTAGTCACCGCCCAAACGGCTTAATCGATTGAGAGACAGAGAGAATAAATTGAAGGTTAGAAAAAAATATGTACTATACCACGGCTTAATTTGTTTTCTTTCCATTGTTGTACAAGATAGATAGAATATGAAGGCTTCACAAGCAATAGTATGCTGCTAAATACCATTGATCCTGGTAGAACCAAGCTTCAAACGTCGGTTCCACATATAAGAGAAGATATTGGTTTTTAATGTTACCTCTGGGAGTATTTCGTGCCCATGGCCATGTTCTTCATCAAAGATTGAGGCTCAAATGAATTCTCGGCCTCAATACCAATACAGTTAGTGTCCCTAATTACAACATTGAGCCATTTTTTGAACCTAATAACTATACATCATTATTAAAATAGTATATTCATAATAAATGATAGGATAACAGCGGCTTTGTATAACATTACTGAAAATAATTTTTCACAAAAGAAAGAAAGACAATAATTCGACATTTCGATGATCTATGACATCATTTTCAAGCTTTACTAAGGTATTTAGGAAAGTTGTACAGGGAAAAGAAGAGAAAAGAAGAGAAGAAAGATGTAAAAAAAATAAGAGAGAAACAACATTGTTTAAATGATTTTAAGATTATCATTAATGATCTAGGTTAGGTAGCTGAACTTTTGGTAAACCATCAGGAAAGACAAGTAATGATACCGAGTGTGTTGTTTTGTTAAGTTCAGGTTCATAAGCCTTGATCAGCAGTGATTCTTTAATCAACAGACGATAATAATGATTGTCTTGTCATACTATTTGAAAATTACTCCAGTTCATTCGATGACCTGTTTCTTTTTCATGTTGATGAATTGATGACTTATCAATCTTCTTATCGCTGCTGTTGTCATTTGTTATTGTTGTTTTGTTTCTTATTCGTGATGATCTTCTTAATTCTTGGATGTTGCTGTTATGATTAAGATCATCACTCACATGGTTGCATTGTTGTTGATAGGCTGTTTTTGGTGCACCATGTTCATTTAATCTTCGTATACATTGACGTTCAGTCTTGCCAATATAAGAATGTTCACAGTCATTACATTTAACATAATATACTACATTCGACTTCATGTGTTTAGCAATTGGATCTTTGTTTTGAAAGAATGCTTGTGTCGATGATGGTGGTTTGAAGAAGAATTAGATATCGAGATCAGGTTTTAATTTGTTTGTAAGATGTTTTATTTTGTTTTTAAGATCTATTGTTGATGATTGAATAAATGGTATCTCAACATAAATTTTATTTTTATCATTTTCAATTATTGGTGTATCTATTTTAGTAAATGTTTTATTTCAATGTTGACTTAATTTAATACCAATAATTATATCAATAAATGATAATGGATAATTATTAAGTAAACTAATTCTTCTTATTTCATCAAATTCATCTTCTAAATGTTTATATGTTGAACAAATATTAAGTGCACGATTAACCATACTAACAATACTGGCTTTCTTATACTGAATAGGAATATAAGAATTCCAATTTGGTAATAATCCAGTGAACGTTGGTTTACGATAAAGTGTTGTCTCGAAGCATATTGTTGTTCAGATGATCGAATAACTTGTATATGGAGGAATTCCAATTTATCATTATCTTCAATGTTTCTTGTAAACTTAATTGATGGATGAAAATCATTGAGAATGGATAATATGTTATCTACATTTGCATCTTTATTAATGAAAATAAATGTGGCATCTGCATATTGATACCATTCACATACACCTGATTGTGTTAATTTATCCATCAATGTTGTTTCCAAGTGAGACATGAAAATATCAGCAATCACTGGAGCTAAAGGTGCACCCATTGCAACACCATTGTGTTGAACATACATTTTGTTATTAAAGGTGAAATGTGTTTTAGATGTAGCTTCTTCAAGTAGATTTCTAAAGTCAATATTCTGCTTACGTTTACGACATTGTTTTGTTTTTGGTAGTTTCAAACATGATTTTTTACATGTCGGATACATTTGATCAAGAATAAAATCAATTGTATAAGTAAGTGGAACATTGGTAAAGAGACTCACTACATCAAATGAAACTAATATCTTAAGGGTGTGGGTGTGAGTGTGAGTGTTAGTGAATGACAGAACTACTATCAACACCCACACCCCACCCACGCTCCTGATAACAAATCGATAGTCTAGTTTCGATTGCAGAGACAGTTTTCTACATTTCTGTGAGTTTGAACTCTCTCCGTGCAGTTAGAAATATGAAATTGACGCGTTAAAACAGTTCTCTTTTTTGTTTTACTCAACACGTTGTGCACAGTCAAAAATGTCCAGAAAATTGTGTTTTAACACGGTGCTTTTTTTTACTTCCAGCGCATAATAACAGCATTTAGAATAAAAACGTTTTAACGCGTATTAACTCGTAATTTCGGACATTTTTGACTGTGTACAACGCATTTCAATGAAAAGCAATTTACTTCGTTGATAGAAACAACAAATTTAAATTACGGATGAATAGATGTAATCCGCATAGCTTAATATTACAAACAATACTACAATATCGTATGTACTAATAAATAAAGGATACCAATAACATCGAAGGTGTGAGTATGCGTGTGCATATGGGTATTTGGAGAGATTATTTACACCTACGCCTAAATCTACATTCTCGTTTCGATTAGACAAAAATAATATTCAATTCGAATTCGATTCGATTCGACTGAGCTGAATCGAATTATTCGCCTATTCGATTCAGTTTCGGTCTCTGATTCCTGCACCTGAATCTTTTTTGATCTTAATGTGTCGAGTGACTGTTTTTTATCGTGAAGAATAGTCTTAATCGCAGACAACTCAGAAGCTGAGTATGACATACTGGTAGTTTAAATGAACAAGATGAGTTTTTTTTTATTCGGAATTAATTCAAAAACTTTTTTAAGAACTCCGATAAAAAAGTTCTAATTTAGTTGTCATTATTTTCCCATTGTTGAATTTGTTCATGCGTTAATAAACCAGCCTGACCAGCTTTTACTATATAATCTTGAATGGCATTCTTAATAGCTCCTTCTTTACTATCATAATGCCTTGATTCGCCAACAATATTATCACATTCACACTTACCATCTCATACCCATTTTAATTCGTATAGTCGTCCTTTAGCTTGTACTTGACACGTTTTATCACCTATCTTAATTTTTTGAGAATCATTCCATTGATGTAAGCCATAGATGTAGGCAGCTGCTTTAACAGCTATTGCAGTCCAGTCGAGGCTACTCTTTGTCATTCCGTAATTTCTTTCAAGTATTGCGTTTAATTGGCGTTTTGTTTTTGCTTACGTTACTTAATATTTGCAACCAAATGAAATTAATTCTCAGTTTTGATGAAGTTTGTGCAAACACTTTATGTACTCGAATAAAATAAGGTAAATCGGTAAAAACTTCAAGTAAGATGATGAAACTTTCAATGCGAATTAGATTTCAAAGATAAGAGGTGCAAGTTGGAGAAATGGAAAAACAAAGATGAGTTTTTAACCTTATCTATGCTTGATCCTGTTAGTAATTTTTCTATTTATTTAGTGACACAAGACGCTTCTTCAAACTAGATCGATACAGAAAACAAGTCTGTATTATGAGAATGATACTGACATTCCTCAGAAATAACAGAAGAAAAGACGAATAATTACTAAAGAATGTGAAAAAATAATGACAAAGAAAGTAAAAAAAATGGCAAGTGATGATACCTTTTTGCTTCTTCAATAGTAGAAAAACACATGCTGTTATAAAAGGGTGTGGGTGTGGATGGATCTTCTATTTGCTGACACTCACATCCACATACACACATCCACACCTACACCCACACGTACACTCTTCACCTTTATGGCATGGTTTGTAGAGTCCACTAACAGCAGCCATTTTTCTTCCTTTCTATTTTCACGCTCTCTTGTCCGTACAATGAAATGATTTGTTTTCTTTCGCGTTTCTGACTACAAATGCCATTTTTTTTCTTCTCTTCCTGCATCAAAAAAAGGATTTAAACAAACGAAAAGGTATTGAAACATTTTTAGTCATGATCATTATTGTATAACTAAACATTTTTTAGACGAACATGAGATTCATCTGAAGGTTTATTATTTGAGTGACTACTTTCAAAAAAAATCAGTCTGTTTCAGGATGTTTTGTTTCAAAATGTAGAAAATTGTCTTTAAGTAACACGGGCGTATGATGTAGTGGAAGCGCTCGAGTCTACGGAACTTGGAACCCTGGTTCGATCCCAGGTACGCTCATTTTATTTTTTGTCCTTCTTTTTCTCTATACAAACTCGATTGAGAAATCGATAACGATACATGGAGAAATCTCCGATCTGCCGTAATTGCAAAACAAAAAAGACAGAAGTGCCTTATTAGTTCAAATCACAATGTTAAATTTGTCTCATTGTTGAATATGTTGGAATTATTTATCAATTTATATAAATATCACTTAAGAAACGATGATAATTGATACTTATTCCATATGCAAGGTATTATATAAAAAAGTTCTTCAGATTCTCAAACTGGATACTCTACATACTAATGATATTGTTCATGCCAAAACTCACTATGAAATTTTATACACTTTTTTTATAGATTCCAGCGGATCTTTATAGTGGATGGGTGTGGGTGTGGGTAAAAAGAAGACCGATGTCGAGACCCACACCCACATCCACACCCACCCACACCCTCAGCCACACCCACACCTACACCCACACCCACACCCTATATTAAGGCCAATCGTTGATTTCCATATGTTTTTCGATCGAGGTAGGTTGGAGATGAAATGCTCTGGACAATAGAAGCAAACAAAATTTTAATCATTTTGATTGCATTGTTTTTTAGCTGTTCTTTTACTTTGAAAGTAAATATTAGATTTTTTGAAAATTTTTGATATTTAGAGTCAATTTATTCTTGTCGATTTTCTTAACATTATGTTCTTTACCATCTTTTTTCCTTTTGTTATTTTTGAAAATTTCGCCAAACTAAGAAAATTTAAAAAAAACAAGTATCGATTTATATCTCTTGCTTCATTTGCCATTCTAAGCATGGCTTAATATAATAAGTCATATCAAAAGTTTCATCTGACTTAAATGGACTTATCATAGATTGATGACAAATTGTGCAAAAATTATAATTGTTCTTATATATGACAATTGAAACGATATAGAAACATGCATCTTATATAGATGTACACCATTTTAATTACGTATACTGTCACATCATTTTATGAGAGAATATATATCGCTATTGAAGAAGTGTTTTACTGGTTTTTTCGATATCAAAGAAATAGATATGAAATTAATCAGAGTAAGCTTATAGAGTTTATAATAATTGCCAGTGCAATGAATACGATCTATTGACAATGGATCAAGAGTGAAAATGTTTAATATTATGTTGAATTCGAGATATTATATGAAAACAGAATCAATTAAATATTGAATTAATTCTTAATTTCTTATCTTCATCTGATGATATTGTCATCAAATCAATAGATCATGTTAAAGTAATATCACAGACTAATTTATCAAATTTTTGATTGACTTCTATAAATGAATATAGTACATCAATATTATTGAGTTTATTAAAAATAGTAAGTAATAGGCATTCCATGACATAGAGCAAGAATATTAACACATTGAATGATAAATTCTTATTTTCTGGAAATCTACATGACATGACTATGACAAAAATTTTATGGAAATTTAATCCGATGCGTTGAGACATGAGCACATAAGATAGATTATAATGTCAAAAGAATATAGAAATTATATATATATAGCAGTCTCCAACTCGGGTAAGGTCAGATCTCAATATCCTTTGTTTTTAACTACGAAATGAAAGGAAGAAAAAAAGCATTGAGAAATTAATTTTCTCAAGAGAAAGAGAAAAGCAATCGATACAATACTAGAGCCCGACTCGGATCGGGTCGTGTTGGGTCAAAAAAATTTGACCCATGTCGGACACTGATGTATAATGTTGAATTGTGTTGAGTTCGGCTGGGTGAGAAAATTCATTTCCATCTCATATGCTTTTCGGATAAAAAAAATTTTCTAACCCAGTCCAATGACAAACTAGGAATTGCATTATTTCAATTGAATATATAAAAATAAATTTTAGCTACACATTGTCGATGTTTAATCTAGGCGCTCGCAATGGTACTACTTAGTTTGTATCTACCAGTATATAATGATGTGCAGAAATTTGAATTTTCTCAAAAGTGGAGTTTACCATGGTCTCTATTAACAGTTGAATGATCTGTATTCAATGAGAAGTATCAAGAATTGCAATCTATCTAATTACATACACGTCGATATTCTTTCTGTATGGTACCTAGCGTCAAAAACAATAACATTGTTCGACGATTCAGCTGTGAATATTGTAACTTTTGATTACAATCAAGTTTTGCTACGGTAAATAATCAATTTTAGTCAAGCACTAGATTTGCAAAAAAAAAAACAATTCGGTCTTTTCTTTAACAATGATATAATATATTTTGAACTGCTATACTCATTCACTTCAAAGAAGCTAATCTGCTAAGTCAATTTTGATGTTAGAAGATTAGATTTGGATTTATAATGGTAGCATTAAGGGACTGAGTCATTTAAGAAAGAATTTAATTCGGATCGACAAACCGGTATCGACCCTGTTTTTTTGAACTCTTAGAACATGCTGGTTTCAAGTGTCGTTTTTTAATCAACTTTTAGGGCACTGAAGCTCGTCTATTTTTGCTCGTTTTATTCATGTTCATGGTAGTAAATAGAAATTTTGGCAATGTTTTCTGTTGTCAAAATTTCATACAATCTTTATAGTTTTAATGATCCAGATATATAAGCTTGAAATCTACCAAATAACAAATGTCTAGTTGTTATCAAAGTTCTTGTTCTAAATTCCGAGATTACGTTTTTTTCATTGTTTAATGAAGGCTTTCGATAATGCTGAATACATTGATAAGAGTCATGAACATTTTGCCAACCATTAGAAGTTAAATCTGTTCTAAACTAAAGTTTTTTCACCTTGAAATTTCAAGCTCACATTTTTAAACTTTTTTTTAAGTAATTGTCAGAAACTCTGTATAGATAGCAATTAGTTTTATTTCATATTTTCATGACAAAAATATTAGAAACGTTCACGTTTTCTTGTGAAAGTTTGAGAACTGTCAAAGATCCCAAAATTGTCCACCGTACTTAAAGTCTGCTAGTAAACAGAAGGACTTTACTAGTCAATCAAAAGTACACCAAATTGATGCCATACTGACAATGTATCTTAACACAAGGATTTTTATCTTTTCAATGAATTATTATTATTTTTTTGTAAGAGGAAAAAAGAAATATCAGTTTATCTCTCATATATATATATATAATAAGTTTGTCCATTTGCTTTACATTTACTCAAATTTCTCTTATATTTATCTGAATGAATCAGTTCATATGAAAAGAAAAATCTTTTACAGAAGAGAAAAGTCCACTAGAAGAAAGAAATATCCTCTGGTGGAGTATTTATATTTTGCTTTTTCTATAACTACTAATATTGTGATATTTCATTAGGTATGCAAAGTTCCATATATTCTTAGCAGACTTTAGGTAAAATAGACATTTTTTCAACCTTTGACATTGCGATTGTGTCTATGATTTTTCAAGGATTATTTCAACATTCTAATTGTGCTTTTTCTAGACCTACTTGAATATTGTGTGTATGATTTTTCAAGGACTATTTCGATATCTTAACTATAATTTTTCTAGAGCTATTCAGACATTTTGTCTATAATGTTTCAAGTGCTACATCAACATTATGTCTATTACTTTTTTCCACCTGCGTAGACATGATGTCTGTAATTTTTAAAGGACTATCTGGGCATCACATCTAAGTATTTTCAGAGGCTAATCGAATATCATGTCTGTAACATATCAAGAGCTATTTAGGCGTTGTATCTATGAATTTTTATGAGCTATTCACACAGCATATCTCTAATTTTTAAATGGCTATGTAGATATGTTACTGACCACTTTTCAACATTTCCCTGGACATTATACGTCTAACTTTTAAGAGCTATCTGGATTTCAAAGCTGCGATTTTTCCAGAGCTCTGTTATTATAATACTTGTATTTTTTTAAAGGGCTAGCTTGAGGTGTACCTGCAAAACATTTTGAGGACTATGTAGACATCTTATTAGCAAATTTTCGACAGTTGTGTGCACATCATGTGCATGCTGGTTGTATTAGAAACTGCTGGTTTGAAATTATTATCCATTTGATAAAAAAATTGAACTTGATTGATATAAATTAACACGTTTCCCAGATTTTATGACTGTTGTTAATATTTATGAAGATTAATTTGATGAAGAAGTATTCTTTAAAGAAAAATTAATTCCATTAATTATATTTAGATCAATCGATGATTACATACAAATGTATCTTTTTTTTTTTTTTCTTTCATATGTGATCGTCCTTTCAGTCGAGGGAGCAGAGAGAAAAAAAATATATTACTTGAATAATTATCCATTGATTCATCATCAATTAAGATTATAGAAAAATGTATCATTGTTTCTATGGACGATATCGGTCAAATAGAGAATATTTGAGTATGTCAATATAAATACTGACATTTATGATATGAGTAAAATAGATATTGATATAGATAATCATGGAATATTCATATATTCAATTGAATAATTTACCGGATGAAATTCTTATTTATATTTTTAAAAAATTGTCTAATGCAGAAATACTTTATTCTTTATCAGGTGTCAATAAACGATTAAATAAAATTATACATGACTCTATTTTTACAAATGATTTGTCTCTTTTGATATCTACATCGGATGGTTTAGTTTATCCATTATCTGATCTAATCCTTGATCGATTTTATTCATATATTTTACCTTCGATTCACCGAAAAATTCAATGGCTTCATCTTGAATCACTTTCAATGGAAGATATTCTTCGTGTTAGAAATTATCCAAATTTATATGGAATTAGTTTACATAATATTCAAGCAAAAAAAGCTATAGATCTTTTTACTATAGTTCGTTCAAAAAGTCCGTGCGTGTGACTATTTTTT